GCGCCGTCTCAGCGCCCCCCCGCGGCTCCAGCGCCCGCCCAGTGCCTCCTCCGCCCCGACCACTTTATTTCGGCACCGCACCCCCCCTCCCCGCTCCGCCCCCTCCCCCGCGCCGTCGCGGCTCCAGCGCCCGCCCAGTGCCCCCTCCGCCACGACCACTTTATTTCGGCACCGCACCCCCCCTCCCCGCTCCGCCCCCTCCCCCGCGCCGTCTCAGCGCCCCCGCGCGGCTCCAGCGCCCGCCCAGTGCCCCCTCCGCCCCGACCACTTTATTTCGGCACCGCACCCCCCCCCGCTCCGCCCCCTCCCCCGCGCCGTCTCAGCGCCCCCGCGCGGCTCCAGCGCCCGCCCAGTGCCCCCTCCGCTTCGACTAGTTTATTTCGGCACCGCACCCCCCCCCCCGCTCCGCCCCCTCCCCCGCGCCGTCTCAGCGCGGCGGCGGCTCCAGCGCCCGCCCAGCGCCCCCTCTCCGCCCTGACCACTTTATTTCGGCGCCGCCAACCCCCGCCCGCTCCGCCCCCCCGCCGCCCCGCCCGCCCGTCTCAGCGCCCCCGTCCCCGGCTCCCATCGCCCGCCCCAGCGCCCCTCCGCCCCGACCACTTTATTTCGGCACCGCACCCACCCCCCTCCGCCCCTCCCCCGCGCCGTCTCCGGCGCCCCCCCGCGGCCTCCAGCGCACGCCCGTGCACCCTCCGCCCCTGCTATTTTTATTATGAGTAATTTCGGCCACCGCCCTCCCCCCCCGCTCCGCCCCCCCCCCCCCCCCCTCCGCGCGGTACTCACGGCCCACCCGCCCGCGGCTCCCGCCCGCCCATTGGCCCCCCCCTCCGCCCCCGACCACTTCATTTCGGCAGAACGCAGCCCCCTCCCCGCTCCGCCCCTCTCCCGCGCCGTCTCAGCGCCCTCCCGCGGCTCCAGCGCCCGCCCAGTGCCACCTCCGCCCCGACCACTTTATTTCGGCATCGCACCCCCCCCCGCTCCGCCCCCTCCCCCGCGCCGTCTCAGCGCCCCCGCGGCTCCAGCGCCCGCCCAGCGCCCCCTCCGCCTCGACCACTTTATTTCGGCACCGCACCCCCCCCCCGCTCCGCCCCCTCCCCCGCGCCGTCTCAGCGCCCCCTCCCCGCGCCGATCTCAGCGCCCCCCGGCGCGCTCCAGCGAGCGCCCGCCCAGTGCCCCCTCCGCCCCGACCATTTTATTTCGGCACCGCACCCCCCCCCCGCTCCGCCCCCTCCCCCGCGCCGTCTCAGCGCCCCTGCGCGGCTCCAGCGCCCGCCCAGTGCCCCCTCCGCCCCGACCACTTTATTTCGGCACCGCACCCCCCCCCGCTCCGCCCCCTCCCCCGCGCCGTCTCAGCGCCCCCGCGGCTCCAGCGCCCGCCCAGTGCCCCCTCCGCCTCGACCACTTTATTTCGGCACCGAACCCCCCCCCGCTCCGCCCCCTCCCCCGCGCCGTCTCAGCGCCCCCCCGCGGCTCCAGCGCCCGCCCAGCGCCCCCTCCGCCCCGACCATTTTATTTCGGCACCGCACCCCCCCCCTCCGCCTCCTCCCCCGCGCCGTCTCAGCGCCCCCCCGCGGCTCTAGCGCCCGCCCAGTGCCCCCTCCGCCCCGACCACTTTATTTCGGCACCGCCCCCCCCACCCCCCGCTCCGCTTTCTCCCCCGCGCCGTCTCAGCGCCCTTCCCGCGGCTCCAGCTCCCGCCCAGTGCCCCCTTCCGCCCGAACCGACACTTTATTTCGGCACCGCCCCCCCCCCCGCTTCCGCCCCCTCCCCCTCAGTCTCAGCGCCCTCCCGCGGCCCCAGCGCCCGCCCAGTGCCCCCTCCGCCCCGACCACTTTATTTCGGCACCGCACCCCCCCCCGCTCCGCCCCTCCCCCGCGCCGTCTCAGCGCCCCCCCGCGGCTCCAGCGCCCGCCCAGTGCCCCCTCCGCTTCGACCACTTTATTTCGGCACCGCACCCCCCCCCGCTCCGCCCCCTCCCCCGCGCCGTCTCAGCGCCCCCCCCGCGGCTCCAGCGCCCGCCCAGTGCCCCCTCCGCCCCGGCCATTTTATTTCGTCGCACCGCACCCCCCCTCCCCGCTCCGCCCCCTCCCCCGCGCCGTCTCAGCGCCCCCCCGCGGTTCCGGCGCCCGCCCAGTTGCACCCTCCGCCCCGACCACTTTATTTTCGGCACCGCCCCCCCCCCCCGCGCCCCGCCGCCTCCCCCGCGCCGTCTGAGCGCTCCCCCGCGGCTCGAGCGCCCGCCCAGTGCCCCCTCCGCCCCGACAACCCCCCCCCCATCCTCCGCCCCCTCCCCCACACGTCTCAGCGCCCCCCACGGCTCCAGCGCTCGCCCAACGCCCCCTCCGCCCCGCCCACTTTATTTCGGCGCCGCAGCCCCTCCCTGCTCCGCCCCTTCCCGGACACCGTCTCAGCGCCCCCACGGTTCCAGCGCCCGTCCAGTGCCCCGCGGCCCCAGTGCCCGGCCAATGTCTTTCCTGCCCCGGTGCGCCCCTTTCGCCCCTCCCCCCCAGTGTTCCCCGCGGCCTCAGCGGGGCCTTCTCCGCATGGTTTCCTTCCGCCCCGCCCATCTTCTTTCCGCCCTCGCGAAGCAACACACGAGCGCCACAAAACGCTTCGGACATCGGGGATCCGGGTCATTACGAAATTGCAATTCTGGTTGCAGCAGCAACAAGAAACTAGGCCGCCGCCGCCCCGGGCCGAAAGTCTGGTCTGTGGGGGAGGCCCCCATTCAAGTGGCGCGTAGCCGGCCCCCGAGAATACACCCGACAGACTCTGCGTGCAAAGCGACTGCCTTGGACAAGCGTTCGCAACACAAGGCCGCCGCGCACTTTGCACCGCGAGCCCCCAGCAGCTGAGTCCGCTCAGTAATTTCTTCCAGCCCTCCTTGGACCCTGGAGGCCTCCCCTTGGAACCCTCTGTAGGCTTCTCGGGCGTCAGTTGGAGGCTTCCTGGGAACCCGTCAAAGGTCTTTGAAGCCATCTTGCGGGGGACGGCCCTTGGAGTCTCCTCGCGCTCGCCCTCTGGAGCCCCTCTTGCGGCCCTGTTTTGTTCACTCCTTCTGCGATGTCTGGCATCCTCTCCCCCCCCTCCTCCTCCACATCCTCCTCCTCCCCCTTCCTTTTTGTGCAAGAGCCATGGCGCACGTGCCACTTGTTTGTGTGTCCTGGGGCCCCATTTAACATCCACGTCCACGCCCTTGCGGTCCGGACTCCAGGACGCGGCGACCCCGTGGGTATCCACGCGGACGCACGGGCGCGCCCCGCGCCCCGTGCGGTCGCGGCCAGGGGGGCCCGCCCGGCCCACGAGGCCGTGGACACAGTCGGGGCCTTGACCTAAGGAACCCTAATTAAGGACCGAGGCCCCCTTTTCCCATAAGTTCAACTTCGATTCCCCATGGATAACCTAAGGACAACCCAAGGCAAACTGTAAAACAATCAAGGAACACCGAGCCCCTCCCCAACGAAAAGGGTTCCTTCTCCAGCGCCCCGACTGTATGGACCCTGCCATCCGCCGATCTGAACTTCTCGCGCAGTGGATACGTCGCGACAAATGGCTGTTCGCCTCGTCCGCCGACCCGATGATTTTGATCTGCGGCCCCTTTAGGTGGTCCCGACCGCTTCTCCGGGGGTAATCTCGGGAGCGGCCAAGAGGGGGGTGTCCAAGAGGGGGGGATGCAAATCATGACCAGCAGCGTGTGCGCGGCCCAGCGGGGGGGGCCAGGGACGTAATGAAATCCGCCGACCCCTTGTGGGTCTCTAGGCGTGTGAGATAGTTCCCCCCCCTATAGTCCCCCCCCCCCGGGACCCCAAACCGGCGATTTGACCCCCCCCCCCCGGGCCCGGGACGAGCGCCTCGGGCCCGGGACGAGCGCCCCCCCCGGGCCCGGGACGAGCGCCGCCGGGGCTTTTCCGGGCCCCAGGAAGCCTCAAGACGGGCCAAGATGGCCCCAAGAGGCCTTCAAGACGGCCCACGGGAGCCCCGAGACGCCAAACGAGCGCTCCAAGACGCCCAAGATGGCTCAAAGACGGGCTAAGAGGCCTCCAAGACGGCCCAAGAGGTCCCCAAGAGGCCCCAAGAGGCCTCCAAGATGCGTCCCACGAGGGTCCCTAGACGCAAAAATTGGCCCATTCCCTTCGTAAAACGTACATTTTTCACGAATTCGCTTTTTGGGCTTTCCGACGCTCCCAGACGGCCCAAGAGGCCCTAAATACCGCCCCAAGACGGTCCAAGCAGCCTCCAGGGAAGCTCCAAGGCAGCCCAAGAGAGCCCCAAGACAGCCCAAGAGGCGCCCAAGATTGCCCAAGAGGGCCCCGAAGACGGCCCCAAGAGCGCTCCAGGAGCGCTTCAAGTGGCCTCCAAGAGAGCTCAATATGGTCACAGACGGTCGAAGAGCGATCAAAGACACCGACGATCGCCTCCAGACGGCCCAAGACGGCCCCAAGAGGCCCCAAGAGGCCTCCAAGATGCGTCCCAGGAGGGCCCCTCGGCGCAAAAATTTGCCCGTTCCATCGCATCGAAGGAATAGGAATCGACATGAGCCCTGGTATCGGCCGAGCGGCATCAGCCCCTGGGTATCAACCTGGCCGAAAATACCAAGAGTCCAGCCCAAGAGAGCTCGAAGAGGCCGCATTGACAGTCCGAAGGAGACCCGAGTGCCCGGGAGAGCGACCCACAAAATAGTGAGTCTCCAGTGCCCGAAAGAATGTCCCGACATCCTCTACGAGATTCTGAGCTGGCACCCATAACGAATCAAGGGGTCGGCGGATGTGGCGTAAGCCTGAAGAATAAGAAGAGGCGCCATGACATGAAATCTGGGGAAATATCAAGGCCCCCGCCATGATATCCATCCCCCCCCTAGTCATCACCCCCCTCTTGGCCGCCCCCGATAATCGTTTCGCCCTAGGTCCAGTTCTGGTCCCGGGGCTGGATTGCCAGCCCCGGAGGCGGAGGTCGAAGGAACCCGCCGTGAGCTCTGGGGATGTGACTCCCGCCCACGGGTCCTTGCTCTGCACCGAGTCGTTGCAAACGATCGTCGAGTTGACGTCCATGAACACGACCGCCTTCTCGCCGGGCGCGGAGAACTCCCTGACGATGCGCGTGAAGTAGTCGGGGTCCTCTTTGTTTCGGGGCACGGACACAGTTACCCAGGCTCGACTCCAAGGGAGCGGGAGACACCAACGGAGATGAACTTAAAGTTGCGGAAGGACGAGCCTGAAGTTACGTCGGGCACGTCCCCCTACAGGCGGATTTCGGACGACAAATAAAACACACTCTAAAAATATTCAAAAAAATGTTCAATCATAGTCAACAACGAATCGACCCCAGACTATTGCTGGACCATTTTCGAACATGTCCCCTGAAGAGGGACACGCCCGACTTAAGCCTAAATTTGTGGATGAAATGACAATAGACACTCTAACAATCCGATCATTGAATTAAAATTATGTTATGGTTCAAGCATAATTCTTACATGGTTGGAACATGTTTGAAACATGTTTTAGACATCTTGAGAGTATTTGGCAGCACGCTTCCTCTCCATTAAACAACTTCCTCAAGCCCAAAGTCGTGGTCCTCGATCGCGTCGAGGATGTTGGCCTTCACGAGGACGCTGCCGTACTCGCGGCTGTGCAGGATCGCCGTGTGCCGCCCCGCGTGCCCGAGCTCGAACCCGTTCCTGGGACCAGGGGAGGGTTTAGGTCGGGCACGTCCCCCTACTGACTACCTACCAAACCATCCCAACCCAACCCGAAGGCTCGAATTTCGGGTTGGGGGGGGGTAAAAGTTCCATCTGTGTTTTTGTCAATGTTCCGCGACCCACCCCACCCCACTGGAAATGGAGGGCAAATCGAGGCCTTCGGGCTGGGCTGGGGTGGTTTGGTGGGTGGTGACCTACAGGCGGATTTCGGAAGAAAACACCAAGATTGGCACACCAAAAAATGCCACACCAAATACCAAACAAGAATCATCCCCATGCTATGTATGACACTTCTCGAATACTCCTCCTGTAGAGGGACTTGCCCGACGCAGGGGAAGGCTGCATGAGCACAAGCCCTCGAGGGCCCCCGCGGCTTTCTTTGCTCGGCTCCGTGCGAGGCGGGGACCTATCCTACGAGAACGGCGCCCCTGCAACGCACCATGCCCGGACTCCGTTCGGGCCCCGCTCCAACGCGGTACGGCGCACACCTGCTGGGCTCCCAAGGGCCGATAAGCTATGCACCGCGCCATTCCTCGGTCGAAGATCGACAACGCCTCGGGAGGCGCCGACGCGGCACGGTGCACAAGTATCGTCCGCGGATGTCCTCATCCTCCAGGCGGTGGTGCAGAAGAAATCTGCCAGCCGCTTGCGGGCCCCCAGGCGTGTGCGACGACGAGTCCATGCCTCAGACTCTGGGCTACTGCCCCTCCCGAAGCGCGACAGGGACGGCGCCGGAGGCGCCGCCAGGGGGCCCAGCGCCGATCCGAGAACTCCGCACGAGTCTCTGAAAGTCTAGACTCGTGCTGTCCCAGAATACACGCCGGTCGGAAGAAGTGGGTTGAAACATGAGGTAGGAAGGCGTTGAAGTAGACTGGGCTTCCACCCGCCCCCTGAAGAGGAGGAAAGAAGGCAAACCGCTCGACTCCTGAAGTAGGACAGCACTTAAAGTACATTAGGATTTGGGCATCCAAAAATACCTACTTTCAACGACCGGCTTGTATCGACGGCACGCAGGAGTGACCCTGGGCAAGAGTGACATTTGGTGCGCGGCTTTTGGGGGGCCGCGGGGAGACCGAACACAAGCGCGCAAGAGGCGGTTACCGCATCGCGTTCGGCGATCGGGGGACCCCAGCGGGCCCGCACCGAAGGTCACTCCAGCGAAGGGTCACTCTTACGTGTACAGTCGGGGCGTTGACCTAAGGAACCCTAAATAAGGAACGAGGCCACTTCTATCCACAAGTTGAACTTCGACTTCCCATCGAAAACATGAGGAAACCCGAGGTAAGCTGTGAGACAATTAAGGAACACGGAGCCCCTCCCCAACCAAAAGGGTTCCTTCTTCAGGGCCCCTACTGTAGTCGACTGCGCGCTCGGCAAGAAGATTGGCCGGCACAGCTCTTCGGAGGCGCAGGCCAGCGGCGGGGGATGGGTGGCCGCCCGCGGCCTCGGCCTGCGGGGCCCGAGGGGCCGCCGCGTCACCGCCCCGTCGCCGCCTCGTCGCCGCCTCATCGCCGCCCGTCGCCTGGGCGTGCGGGCCGTGCTGGCGGCCACGTCGCCGCCGTCGCCGTCTCGTCGCCGCCCGTCGCCGCCCGTCGCCGCCCGTCGCCGCCCGCTTCGCACCGCTTCGCATTGCCTCGCGGTGTTTCGCAGTGCCTTGCATGGCTCGGGATTGCTCGGGACTGCCGGGCATTGCTTGGCTGCTCTGCACTGGTTTGCGCTGCCTGGTGTTGCGTAAGACTCTTTTGCGTCACTCGCATTGCATTACATTGAGCTGCATTGTTTTCGTCGCGCTGCTGTAGCGCGGTTTTACGGTGTTTTGCCTGCCCCACATAGTTTACACCACGTATGTTGCTCCACATACTTTGCACCGAATGTATTGCACCACATACGCTACACCACATGTAGTGCACCACGCACTTCGCACCACAGACATTGCTATACATAGGTTGCACCGCATATGTTGCACCACCTCGATTTTACAACATAAAATGTACCAGATATACTCTCCTTTAAAAAAAAGTGATGTCCCCCCCCCCACCGGATTATCACCCCGCCCTGGGGATGTACACTTTACATACGATTCGACCCCACCGCTCGTTCAAAAATGAACTCGCGCCATCCCAACCAAGCGTATATCGACCCCCGCACATCATCTTCGGCAAACACACACACACACACACACACACACTAGGCGCGCCCACGCGTTTATCACAACGAAACACCCATTTTCAAGAAGCGCCTCTTACCGAACAAACACACGATGTGCACACGCGCGCGTCGTCGCGCGCGCAAACCGAAACCCTTCAATAACCATAGATTTCGTAAGCATTTCGAAGCCGAATGTCCCGAAAACACGAGTTTCTCAAAAGTAAGCTTGCGCCACATCAATTTTCAAAAAAATGTATGCGAGCGCGCTGCTGCGAATTCTCAAGACAGCTGTGAGCTTCCATCATTTTCACCACATGAGGCCAAGCGGGCCTCGCGCGCGCATGCACAAATCATTCGAACGCCGTTGCGCGCGTGCTGAAAGGGGCACGGCCCATGTCAAATGGCATCACGCGGGCCATTCGCGCCCGTCGGCCGCGCGCGCATGTCGAAATCCTTCCCAAACCTTCATCACCGACGCGTGGACACCATCATCGTCACCGGCGTGATCAGCATCGGCGCGATCAACATCAGCATCGCCACCATCGTCCCTGGCATCGCTGCAATCATCATCGCGTTTGCCGTTGTCAACGTCGCTGTGATACCGCGCCCGCGCGAGTTACTTACTCGAACTGAAGTGCCCGCGCATCAGCGCGGCCACGACGCGCTGGGGAATCCCAAGCCGTCAACGCCAGCGCGGCCGAGTCGGCCGCGCCTGACTAGCTGACCGCTCTGCGAGCGAGCCTGCAAGCGCTAGCGCGGCCGCAGCGATGCGCCAGCCAGCGCCAGTCCAACATCGCAATTGCCTGTCTTATAGGTTTTGCAAACCAGGCTGCCGGCGGGTAGGTGGGATGACTGCGCGAGCAAAGCTGACAACTCACCGCGAACAATAATTAATTCTCTTTTCTGAAAGAAAACAGAAAGTAGACTCTACCCCCCCCCCGGCGTTATCGCCCCCCCTTTTCGGATATGTGAATCACATACGATTCAGACCACATGTCCATCCTAAATATGAAATCGCAATGTCTCAGGCCAACCGGTATCGGCCCCCCTGAGGTTCCCATGTAAAAAAACACTAGGCGGTGACATGTTCTGTTCTAACATAACACTTGTTCACGAATCTTTTGAAAAAATGGAACGATGTGCACACGCGCGCGTCGTCGCGCGCGCATGCCGAAATCCTTCAAAAACCCTCGGTGTCGGAAGGATTTCGCAATCGAGTTCCCAAAACAAAATATACAACACAAGGTCTCGCAACACTGATTTCCTAAAAAAAGTTTCCGCGCGAGCTCTTGCGAAATCTTAAGAAACCCATTGGTGCTTTGTGATTTTCACAAAATGCACTCAAACGGGCTTCGCGCGCGCGCGCATGCGCGTGTGCCGTCGCGAGAATCCTCTGCATAAAACGAGACGAAGTGCAGACGCGCGCGTCGTCGCGCGCGTACGCCGAAATCCTTCAAAGCCCATCGGTTTCGGAAGGATTTCAAAATCGTGTGCCCAAAAAACTTACAAAAACACAAGGTTTCGCAACACGGAGTTTCAACAGAAGCGTGCGCGCGCGCTCTTGCGTCGTCGTCGTCGTCGTCGCCGTCCTCCCTCCTCCCGCGTCGTCGTCGTCGTCGTCGCCTACGTCGTCCTCTGTCTTTCCTAGTGTTCGTCGTCGTCGTCCTCTTTGGCGTCGTGGTCGTTTCCGCCGTCGTTGTCGCCGTGGTCGTCCTTCCTCCTCCTCCCTAGTCGTCGTCGTCGTCGTCGTCCGTCGTCGGCGTCTCGTCGTCGTCCCTCCTATTTCGTCGCCGTCGTCGTCGTCGCCGTTGTCGTCGTCGTCGTCTTCCCTCCTCCCTCGTCGTTGTCGTCGTCGGCGTCGCCGTCCTTCCTCCTTCTTCGTCGTTCGCGTCGTCGCCGTCCTCCCTCGTCCCTCGTCGCTGTCGTCGTTGTCGTCGTTGTCGCCGTCGTCGTCCTCCCTCCTCCCTCGTCGTCGTCGTCGTCGGCGTCGTCGTCGTCGTCGGTGTCGTCGTCGTCGTCGTTGTCGTCGTCGAAGTCGTTGGAGACGTCGTCGGTGTCGTCGTAATCGGTGTCGGCGGCGCCGTCGTCGTCGTTGTCGCTGTCGTCGTCGGCGTCGGTGTCGTGGCCAAGTGCCATGTGGTACCCACCGTCACGATCTTGTCCTAAGAGGTCTTGCGACCAAGTTGCGGGTGGGAGGGTGGGGTGTTTGCACGAGCAGTGGAGAGGACAGCTTCCAAACGGTCAAAAGTGAATTGCACCACATACATTGCACCACATAGCTCACACCACACAGATTGCAAACATAGTTGACACCACGTATTTTGGACCACACTGACCGTACCACATAAATTGCACCAGATAGCATATTAGAACACACGTTGTTAACATGAACTTGCACAGTCTGCACCGTCCCAGTTATAACGCACTGTTTAATATCCAAAGCAGCGCGTGCAGTTACAAGGTCTCACTTATATATCTAAGGAATGGAATGCGTCGGGCGAACATTTCCACGTTGCGTGTCCGTTGCCGCGTCGTTGCCATGTCGGAATCCTTCCAAAACCCTCATCGCCGACGCGTGGACACCATCATCGTCACCGGCGTGATCAGCATCGGCGCGATCAACATCAGCATCGTCACCATCGTCCCTGGCATCGCTGCAATCATCATCGCGTTTGCCGTTGTCAACGTCGCTGTGATACCGCGCCCGCGCGAGTTACTTACTCGAACTGAAGTACCCGCGCATCAGCGCGGCCACGACGCGCTGGGAAATCCCAAGCGGTCAACGCCAACGCGGCCGAGTCGGCCGCGCCAGACTAAGCTGACCGCTCTGCGCGCGAGCCTGCTAGCGATAGCGCGGCCGCAGCGATGCGCCAGACAGCGCCAGCCCAACATCGCAACTGCCTGTCTTATAGGTTTGCAAACCCGGCTGCCGGCGGGTAGTGGGATGACTGCGCGAGCAAAGCTGACAACTCACCGCGAACAATAATGAATTCTCCTTTCTCAAAACAAAAATAAACTCTACCCCCCCCCGGTGGCGTTATCGCCCCCCCCTTTTCGGATACGTAAATCACATATGATCCTGACCACATGTCCATCCGAAATATGAAATCGCAATGTCCCAGGCCAACCGGCATCGGCCCCGCTGAGGTGACATTTGTCGTTCTCACATAGCACTTGTTCGCGAATCCCTTGCAAAAAATGGGACGAAGTGCGCACGCGCGCGTCGTCGCGCGCGCATGCCAAAATCCTTCAAAAACCCTCGGTGTCGGAAGGATTTCGCAATCGAGTTTCCCAAAAAACATACAAACACATAGGGTTGCGCAACACTGATTTCCTAAAGAAGTTTCCGCGCGACCTCTTGCGAAATGTTAAGAAAACCGTTGGTTTGTTATTGATACATCTACATATATACATATATATATATATAATAATAAACACAAAATGCACTCAAACGGGCTTCGCGCGCGCGGATGTCGAAATCTGTCGAACGCCCTTGCGCGTGTGCCGTCGCGAGAATCCTCTGCAAAAAACTGGACGAAGTGCAGACGCGCGCGTCGTCGCGCGCGTATGCCGAAATCCTTCAAAGCCCATCGGTTTCGGAAGGATTTCAAAATCGTGTGTCCAAAAAACCTGCAAAAAACACAAGGTTTCGCAACACGGATTTTCAACAAAAACGTGCGCGCGCGGTCTTGCGTCGTCGTCGTCGTCGCCGTCCTCCCTCCTCCCGCGTCGTCGTCGTCGTCGCCGACGTCGTCCTCTGTCTTTCCTCGTGTTCGTCGTCGTCGTCCTCTTTGGCGTCGTGGTCGTTTCCGCCGTTGTTGTCGCCGTGGTCGTCCTTACTCCTCCTCCTCCCTAGTCGTCGTCGTCGTCGTCCGTCGTCGGCGTCTCGTCGTCGTCCCTCCTATTTCGTCGCCGTCGTCGTCGTCGTCGTCGTTGTCGTCGTCGTCGTCTTCCCTCCTCCCTCGTCGTTGTCGTCGTCGGCGTCGCCGTCCTTCCTCCTTCTTCGTCGTTCGCGTCGTCGCCGTCCTCCCTCGTCCCTCGTCGTTGTCGTCGTTGTCGTCGTTGTCGCCGTCGTCGTCCTCCCTCCTCCCTCGTCGTCGTCGTCGTCGGCGTCGTCGTCATCGTCGTCGTCGGTGTCGTCGTCGTCGTCGTCGTTGTCGTCGTCGAAGTCGTTGGAAACGTCGTCGGTGTCATCGTAGTCGGTGTCGGCGGCGTCGTCGTCGTCGTTGTCGCTGTCGTCGTCGGCGTCGGTGTCGTGGCCAAGTGCCATGTGGTACCCACCGTCACGGTCTTGTCTGAAGAGGTCTTGCGACCAAATTGCGGGTGGGAGATTGGGATGTTTGCACAAGCAGTGGAGAGGACAGCTTCAAAACGGTCAAAAGTGAATTGCACCACATACATTGCACCACATAGCTCACACCACACAGATTGCAAACATAGCTGACACCACGTATTTTGGACCACATTGACCGTACCACATAAATTGCACCAGATCGCATACTAGAACACACTGTTTGGGGCCCACAGTGGCTAACATGAATTTGCAAAGTCTGCGCCGTCCCAGTTATAATGCACATGTTTAATATCCAAAGCAGCGTTTGCATTTACAAGGTCTCACTTGTATCTTTAAGGAATGGAATGCGTCGGGCGAACACTT